TGAAACCAGAGCATGTGTTGTATTTTTATAATAACAATAATAAACTTTAGTTGTATAGCACTTTTCAAAAAATAAATTTACAAAGTGCTTCAGAGACATTAAGAAAACACAGTGGTGCAATCACGAATTGGAGGAGATAAAAGACAATGGAATAAAAACATTCTAAATGATTAAAAGAATAAAAGCATAATACAAAGAGAAAGTCAATTAAAAGCTCTTTTAAAAAAAATTAGTATTCAAACCATTTCTCTTTGCTTGAAAATTAATAAACATGATCAATGATCAAAATAGTTGCTGGTTATTTTCCAGTTGACTCATTGGTTAGGCTCTACATGCTTCACCTCAATCCTGATCAAGAAGCTTCACTGTATGAAAGCAACTGACAGCCACAGTTCTAGTTGATACTGCACATGGCACATGCAAAGACCTAGCATCTCTACTTAGAGTCTGCTGTCAGAAAACCAACAACAATGGCTCAGGTGCAAAATAAAAGCAGTTTCATGGTTCAATTAGTTTATCTCGTGAGAAAAAGTCAAAAGAAGTTTTTTTTCCTTTCTTTTTTTTTTACATATTGCTGGAATCGCAAGAGGAAAAGTTATCAGGGATTGGTTGCCACATCTGACACTGTTGCAAAAAACCCAGCTGTCACTTCCTGACATGGGAGCCAAAGAACTAGAGGGCCCAAGTTCATAATAACCAGATGCATGAATATGTGCATACACATTTACAGCTATGAATTTGTGCAGTTCCATGTGCCTGCCTGCCTGCCTGCATCTGAATACATGCAGAGGAGTGTATCTGTGTGGGAACGTGACATTTCCTCCCTGAACCCTGGTGACACCTCTGTGCAGGGGGGTTGAATTATACATCCGCGGCCCTGTCACACACACGCACGCACGCACGCACGCACGCACGCACGCACACACACACACACACACACACACACACACACACACGCACACACTCACTCACCTGTTAACTGGTGAGCTCTGCAGGCTTCCATATCTTCAGAGCCCTCCACCTGGATGTTATTGCCGCCCGCGGCACCCTGCTCCACCACTCTAATGAGCCCGTCTCAACTCAGTCAAAGTCATCTGATGACACTGATGTGGGGAGATTGATATTCACGCTTGACTCGCCGTCCTCTCCACTTGACTGCTGTGTTTACCTCCCCACACAATTAGTATCTGGTGAAGACAGACAGACAAAGAGAGGAGAGAGGGATGGAGTCAGACTCTGCTGTGTGTTTGTGTGTGACTACATTAGCTCCAATTGTTTATAAAGATGGGAGATGTCTTTCATCGTGGCTTGAAGGTGGCTTTCTATATCACAGGGCCATTACTAGCTCATTTAATCCCCATAAACCTGCTTTACCTCTCTGAATGTCAGTAGCTTGAAATAACAAATACTGGATTGGCTTAAGTAAAATGCATATTTCAACAGTTTTCAGCCAGATTTGCATCTAAGACGTGCCTCGCTTTGGCCTCTTAAGATGCACTTATGAATGAACCCCCACTAACTCCACAACTGTGACAGTGCAGGTCCGACTTCTGCCCACACAGCGGTGTTTACATTTCTACCCCTCCATCTGTTAGCTAACTTTCATCTGAACATTAGCATATAAACAAATAAAACACTTAAGAGTTGAATTGTCTGCCCACTCTTTGTGAAAAAAAAGAGAAAATGGAGGGAGGGGGCAGTGATTGGCATTAACAGACTTTTAGCTGAGCTGGAGGAGAGAAGGGCCAAACCAGCAGCCATGTCCTCAAACTGATTTAGCATTAATTGACATTCCCTCTAATCGGTGCATTCAGCATTTGAACACAGTGATGAAAACGGTTTACACGCTGAATACTGATGCTTACCTGAGAGGAGGAATGAGTAGGGCTGAGCTCGGCAGGTGAACGCTCAGGTATGCTGGTTTGTAAACGACGTCTTAGCAAAAATGGAAGCAGGGTTTTTGAGTGGAGCCACAGCGCCTCCCTGTGGACGGAGTTAAAATGGCGCCTCTTCCTGCTCAACTGACACCAAACTTTTGTCTCTCATTTAGCTTGAACAGAAGGAATCGTGGCTCTCTTTTTTTTTCTTGTATCTTTTTTGTATCTTGTATTCCACTACACACCGAGGGAAATATTGTACTTTTTACTCAACTACATTTATTCCACTGCTTACTTTTCAGTTTTCACGTTTATAGGTATGCTTTGTTACATTTCATTTGTCTATGAGTTAGCATTTTGACCAAATTCCCCTATAAAGTCCTCATATATTTTAATTTAAATAACTGTTCAAGGTACAAGGATGTAAAACTATCAAGTATTTCAAGAAAAGAAAACAAATCTACCAAACTAAGCTACGAAACTGAATATAAAGTAGCTTCACCTCAAGTACATACAACTGTAAAATGCTGTTTGCACATTGATGCATTTATAACAACCTAATTATATCACAGCAGCCAAATTTTCCATTTTACTGACACTTTTAATTAACTAAGGATTGTTGAGTAAGTATTTTCAGATAGTTGTACCATATTGATAGTTTGAAGGACCACAAGCATAACTTCACTAGCTACAGTTTGTACTGTCAGTACTAAAATATCTCCTGGATAGCACTAAAATTCAGCTTGGGAACTGGAGAGTGGAAACTGTAATGATTTCATCTCATTAAAACATCTCCCGAGGCTCTTTAAACTAGCTATATAACCCCACCTTGTCTGTTTACATGGTAACTGTGGAAATTCATCTCGATTGACTCTGCTTTACTTGTAATTTCAGAGAATTATACACAGGAGCAGAATTTAAAATAATAATTACTTCTTATAAATTTATGTTTTTCTTTTTAGTAGTACCATCCCCTGATACTCTCAGCACATGCAAAGTGTGCAGCAGCCTGTCAAGATCATGTTTTGATACTTGCAATATAGCAATGTGTGCTGTCACAGTTCATAAACCCACCCTTCTTTGAAGCCCACATTATGTAGCTGGCAACCTATAGGACCCAATTTGCAATTTAAGTGGACAATCATCAGCTGAGTAGATGAGCATGGTACAGTGCCATATGGCAAGTGGTAGGCTGAATTAGTGTCTGCCCTCTCCCAACCATGAAGGAGGTGTAGTCCTTTAAAGTGATATTTATAAGAACTGAAATCTCTTTGGTTCCCCAGATTAGGCTCAAAACATTTAAATTCAATAACAAATTGAGTTCGAATTTTAGCTATTCTTATTATTATGTGTTTTTGCTCACGTAATTGTGCTGTGAGTTTGCGGATACCTCAAACATTCATTTGAACAACAAAAAGAAATATGAATAATTCATTACGTTTTGTCTCTAAGAGACATTACAAAAAAAAGAACTAAAGAGGCACATGTTCATATTTGTATGTTTATTTTTTGCTTTGCTACAAAAAACAGTCCCAGCAATATTTCATATGACCTGATTAAAAAAACTACTACAGTTAAGTACAAAAGAAATATACCAAAACTACCCAATGCTACCCAGAAAAAATAAGCAATAGTATAAAATGAAATGTCTTGAAGTCTACAACTACAAAAAAAAGTTAGAAAAGGTTACTTAAAAAGAAGGCAAGTATCCACCACAAAATGTGCCACTTTACCACAATCAGTTTGCACGTCTTTCCTTGAATATAAAGTAATGCAAATACTTTACAATAAGTTAACGCAGGCACATCTCCCTACGACTACAGCAAAACCAAGTAACAGTCAAATGTATCACATAAAAATACACTTTTTTTTCTTTTTTTGGCAACAATTTCACACGTCACACAGAAAATTAATCAGCAAAAAACATCTGGGTAGCAACATTTTTGGTTTCTTGAGAACAATATACGTTCTGTGTCCACAACATCAGACTGCTTGTATGAGCTTCAGAGACTTACATACTGTATAACCGTGTATTCAAATCATATAAATATATATGAACAAAAATATACTAAAACTATTTTTATACAAAAAGGATTAATGCCAAATGGAAGCTTACGATTATAAACTTCAATAACTTAAAAAAAAATGAAAAAAGGAATACTTCATACTTTTCAAAAACATTACATTTTAGCCCTAATCTCCTTAATACTAAGGCTTTTGCATTTTTTTTTTATTCTTCTTGATCATACAGCACTGGCAAAACAGCACTCACACCTTAGTGCCAAGAATGCATCAAGTATAAATACTAAGAAAACTCCTGTACAGTACCCATTTATGTCAAAACTACAAAATAAGTTAGTGTCAGGCAACTGTACAGAGTATTTACAGTTTAAATACAAAAGAAGATATTTTTAAATGGAGATGACTTCAGTATGTAAATGTGACCTTGACATAAACATAAGCTTTGGCTACAGCTGATTCAATACAACTGAAAAGCCTCCATGTGGCAAGAAATGTATGTTTTTATCCACTTAACTGCTTAACCAGCTACTAGATGCTTTTTTAGCAACCTGTAACAGAAATGACGATTGGCAACTGCCAACATAACGGACCGGGTTGAAAAACGTATCAGCCGCAGCCAAAATCTAACAACTGATGTTAGTTTTTGTCCTCCTACAAAGTCTTGACACCACAAACACACTTGGTAAGGTTACCTAAATGTACAAAATCAATCACTTAAGTTTTTGCCTCGCCATGATGAATGAAAATGACAGTCATGACTGGTGGAGTGAGGGTGGGAGTGGCAAAAAAGGGAGCAGTCTCTGAGCACAGTTACAAGCCTGGAGGTGGAGAAGACAGATAGACACATTCACATTCAGCAGCAGCCGTATCCCATCGGCACATGGTAGGAGTGTGTACGAGTAGGAATGGATGAGGAGCAGACACCACCTGTTACAGCAGGTGCCCAGTAAACATTTGAGTCTCCTGCAGAGACAGAGAGAAGTGGGGGGAAAGAGGAAGGTATTTGGTACAGGAGAGGTACAAGTGTGTGTGTGTGTGTGTGTGTGTGTGTGTGTGTGCGTGTGTGTGTGTGTGTGTGTGTGTGTGTGTGTGTGTGTGTGTGTGTGTGTGTGTATGAGAGAGGGGAGAGAGCCAGCGAGTGTCATCAGTCCACGTCACTGAGGTCGCTGACTGGCTCGTCCTGCACTATGCTCAGGTGGTTCATGGCGCGGCTGAAGGCGATCTGGACAGCTTTGCGAATGCTGGATGTGCGTCCCTCCATCATTTTAATCTTGTCTATGGTCTTGTCCATCCCCAGAGGAACCATCTTGGATCTAGGAAGCCATTGCCTGAAGGGGGAGAATAAGCACTGACATTACATCATCTCAACAGTATCTAAGATTGAATTTTTACAAGTATTGCTTTCCAGAAATACATCACTCTTTTCACAGGAAATCTGTGATTTCTCACCATAAATAAAGTTTTATTTTACAGAACTGCAGTTAATTAGTTATAAAACATGGATTATTTAAATTTTTTCTAGTTTATTCTTTCATCTATATTTATTAGATAATGTGGGTATATAATTTTATATAGCAGCTATTCATCTTAGAACTATATATTATGTATGAAGTGGAAAAAACGTTTTTAGCATATCTTCCTGCACTGTGTCAGTACTGGGTCTGTATGTCAGTTTAAGCCACATTCTTCCTCTTCCTACTCAGATTGCACTCCAACACATTCATGCTTAATCTAAAAAAAAATGTTATAGATGATCAAATGAGAATAGGATTGAATAGCCAGTAAATACTGCCACAACAATTCCTGGCATTCAACTATTATAGTAGCAGGATTAGAAAAGGAACCCTTAAATGCTATGATCGCTATTAAAATTGCTACTGTGAACGCTCCTCTTGAGTCATCTGCAGAGACTGCCAATGAATCTGAGAGGAGCAGGTGGTTTTAACAGTAGAAATATTAAGTGGGGACAGGAAAAGATTAAAAAAAAGGAAATATAAAAAAATAAAATGGGGTATCAAGAATAACATTTGTTATTTCTAATATGTGTCTGAATAACCTGTTGAGCTTGAACCACCTGCAAAGTTTTCTTTTACAGATGTGAACTCTGCTTCATTCACAATTATTCTAACAAGCTTTCTGCCACACTGAACTGTCTGCTACTACAACAGAAGTATGGTGGCATCACTGAGGTACGGAGAAGGTGTCTTTGTTTCACTACACATACACACAAGCACACACAGACAGCAGACACAGGAGCGCACATTGTCAAACTCTCAGGTCCTGCAGGTTTTTTTCCCAGGAAACATGAAGACATTTCTCAGTTCCTGGTAGTAAACCGTAATAGCAGATGGATAGAAAAAAGTAAAGTGGTGTAATGAATAACATTTTAATTATTTTTAATGTATGTTGTTAAAATATATATTCTGAACACTAACCAGTAAAATGTAGGATGTGTAATTTCCTAGCAGTAGATAAAAAGATGTGTGCAGCCTGTTACCAGTCTGACACAAAGGCTACTGTGCCAATTTCCCTGTTACAGACTGAAAAACATTTTCCTGCTAATGGGAGTCCAGCTGAATCAACAGCCATTTGTTGTGTCTTGACAATTAATGTCACGCAGCCATAAGAGAATAATGATCAGCTGATTGACAGGTTGACAGGTTTAGAAACCTGCGGCAGCTTGTGTCACTTCTTCAGTTAGCGCCACTCACCAGCTGCGCTTGTTGTCGAAGAAGAGGACGAGGTAGAGTTTCTCTTCGGCTTTGTACTGCATCTGTTCTCCGATGCGGAGCACGTCCATGGGGGGCATGGGGATGGACACCCCGTTGTGCTGGCAGCCCACACGTGGCATGTGGGGGTCGATGATCTGCACACAGCGGGGGAAGGCGAGAGGGGAGATATGCACATATGCTTGTGAATGCAAACGCATAGTAAACATACAAGGTGGGGTCCAAAAGTCTGAGACCACTTTAAGCGTACTGTGCATTCACACACGGAATCACTCAAGCATATAGTAAAGATGTCTACAGTATGCTGTATACACACACACACACACACGCATATAATTGCATGCAGCTTGAGGCAGTAAGATTCTCTTCCTCATTTGTCCTTCCATGCTAAGGTCAAACTAAACCAGTTAACAGTGAAAGGCTGCCACCTAGAGGAAAAGCATAGACATTTTTTTGAAAAGTGGGCACTTGATGCTGAAAAGAACAGCTGTAGTGAAACTATTGCTTCATCATGTGAGACAAGAGTGTCATAATTAGGTCCCAATGTGTCCCAACGTGAAGAGATGACAACAAAATGTCAGAGTGAAAAAGACTTTAGTCAGTGACTGTCATGCTTTCTCTCCCACGAACACTCACCAAGGCTGGGTAGGAAGGGTATCCACTACATTTGGCCCAAACTAGCTTTAGGGGTTCCAATGCAACTGTTGCGGCACTAGCGGGCATCCAGATATTGCTGTTGCCAACCTCTATGGAAGCGGGAACAACACCAAACAAGTTATGTGTGGGTTTAAACACATTTCCAAAGCCATGCTTTAAGTGAATGAGCACACAGCACAACAGGGTGGGAAATTAACTTTTCCCTGCAAGAGCCACAGTGAACGACAGATATTAAAATTTACCAGCCACTTGTACCATTTAATCAGCCAAATGTGAATTTTAAATGAGGGAAGAGTCTCCAGATGCTGACTGGTTACATGCCATGGTGGCAGGCAGAACACAAAGACTCACTGGTCACTGCCAAAAGTCACAAGAACTTGGCTGGTAGCTGCTGTTAATTTCCAACCCTGCTTTCTATGTGTGTATAAATACCAGGTGTCTGCGAGTTCATCAACTTACACTTTTAGGACAAGATATTGAAGCTAGAAAGATTATATAATTTGAGGTATTTTAACATTTATAAGAGTCGCAGTCATCTGGAAATATACACAACTACTTACTGCACCTCATTTCTTACAGGCCACACGGATAGCTTGACAGCGATTCATCTGCCAGTTATTTTTTTTAATTAACCAATGAATCATTTATCAATAAAATGACAGAAAGTCATGAAAAATGCCTGTGGGAATTTCCTAGAGACCAAGGTGACATCTTTAAATGTCTTGGTTTGTCACCATAACCCAAAGATATTCATCTTATGGTCATTTAAAACCAAAAAAAAAGCATCAAATCCTCATAGTTCAGAAGAAGGTGAGAAGGTGTTTATCCTCTTCACATCTCTCTTAATAACCCAATTTAAGAACTCCTTGGAAAACAAGTTGATTGTATGAGAAGATGAAAAATATTCCATGCAGGTGCTGATTCATTAGTTTCTGTTTACAGAGTGTATCACTGAAGTACACAATTTCATATGCTCAATTAAATGTAAATATATCTCTTGGGAAAAAAATGGAAAAATACTATATACTAATTAGAATTAAGTAGGTCTGTTGAAATTACTTCCCATACCCGCATACATGCAGTTTGTTTTGACACTCAGAGCAGCCGACTTACCGGCAGCGATTCGTGCTGCTTTTGCAAAATTCCCGGTTTCGATGCAGGCGATTAATTCGCTCTTATCGTCCACAGTGTTTCTCCGGACCAGGGCGGGTTTCCCCTTCCCACATTTTGGAAGACTGAGAATGGTGCTGGAAACGAGACACAAGACAAACACGCGGCAAAGTCAACTTAAGAAACAAATCTGATGCCATGATGGGCAGCTAAATGTAAAATGGACTAGATGACTTCTTTATGATGTTTTCTCACAAAAGGAAGTAAAGTAGCTGGTAGTATCTGGTATCTCATGAAGCTGTAGTTCTGGGGAAGTGCGGTGTTGGACGGGTCATTCTTCTTCATGTGCTGGTAGCTCATTAAAGACACAGAGAACTAGGAAGCAGAAAATAGCAACGACTGGCTTTTCCTCCATTTTTTTTTTTTTAAGTTTAAAAAAAGTTTTAGGTTCCTTGGCGTAGCGGAGTGTAGTAGTAAACAACTCTGTGCCTCCATTTCCGCTGGAATCAAGATGATTGTAATTGGCTCTCATCTGGCTGTCACTTGCACAGTGTCCCAGGGTATTTGCATAAAGACGAGCCTTTTTCATCTTTCCCCTGTAGTGTAACTGGGCACGTTTTGAGCCAAGTCTCAGTCACAATTAATTTTTTAATCAGTATGTGTGAGCGACTTGTTAGACCATGCCTCAATCATGCAAGCCTATATTATTCATTGCTGCTTCATTCATATTTTGCTGCTGATCCTCAGTGACAAAGTGCCAAAAAAAGAAAAAAAAAAAAAGTAGACATTTGTTTCTTTATCCCATGGATTACCTGGTGCTTCCTGGCAGGCTGCTACATGAGGAGATGGAGGACTCAGAGGCACAGCGTCTTCGTGGCTCCACGGGTCTACTGGTTCTACTGGGTTCTTCTAGCTCCTTCTCCTCCTCCACCTCCAGAAACCCACTTGACAGGCCTGAGAGAACACACACGGCAGAAACTCACACGCTATCATAAAAATATAACCCTCAGAATCTGAGCCGCTGCTGTCAAGTGTTGACAAATCTGCATCAGCTACAGGTTGCAGAGCCAACCTTTAATCCAATTTAAGCAAACAGATGTAAAAGAGTAAACAAGTGTCTGTTGTTACTGCTGTGCTGTTTGGAATTTGACTGTGATGACTTGTAAGCACTGTAACAGCTAATTGCGACGTTTGCGCTGCCAGTTTCAGCGGTTGGCAACAGAGCTAAATACTGCTGTACTAATTTAATCAGGCGCTTGAAGAAGTGCCATTCAAATTCTCACATACTGGAAGTCAAAGAAATGTTTAGTCAAGCAGAAAATTGTAAAAGGTTTGCAATTTGCTGTGAGATGGTGAAAATATTGATGGCGCTGAAAGACCAGACCTAAACACGGTTCACTTTAAAAGCTTAATTTTTAGCCGCCTATTTTTCCCTGTTCACTTCTTACCAGTGTCAAGTCGTTTCACAGGAGACTCTCCCTCCTCTTCATGCTCTCCCTCTCCTCCCCCCTCCTCTTCGCTGTCTCTGCTGCCGCTGTGCTTCCTCTTCTTGCTGTGAAGTAGCGTCTCCAGCCTGGGTATAACCACTGAGAGGAAGGATTTGGAACCCAGCTGTGCATCATCTTCATCTTCATCTTCATCTTCTTCCTCCTCCTCCTCCTCCTCCTCCTCGCCTTCTTTTCTGTCAGCGCTGTCGGCCCCCTCGTCTCCGCTCCTCGGGGGCTTGTGTGGACTGGCGGCCTTCGATTTGCGGAAGAGCACGGCTGTCCGGCGGTTGACTGTTCCCGTGGGCTCGGCGAGGGTGGATGTGGCCACCACGCTCACGTCTCCGTCCAGCAAAGAGTTCTGGAGGCCGTCACGGGAGTGGCCGTTGAGGCGTGGAGTAGAGGAGAGCAGGTCTGGGATATCCCGATCAAACTTGACTCGCTTGCTGTGAGTCTTGTCATCACAGTCTGGGGCGGCATCGATTGGTTTGAGGGTGGGGGGCTCAGGATCTGTGTCTGAGTGGATGAGGGGTGGTATTGAGTCCGAGGGCTCCAGTTTAGGAGGAAGAGACTTGTCTCCTGTGGGGAGGAGAGGAGAAAACACATTTTATAGATGTAATGCTGACTGGAGTAAGGATTAATCATTTAAACTACTAAGTAGAACACACATTATTCAGGTTATGGCACGAAGGCTGTTTTATAGTTTTTGATTATTATGCACCACACTTTGTTTTACTGTGTTTTTTTTAGGTATCATGTTTTATTTAGGCTTTAATGCGCTATAGAAATGAACTATAATACATCTTTTATGGTGAAGGATAGCTGCAGACCAACCTATTCATAAAAAGTAAAAATATAAGCAAATATAACAAAAGTCTGTGACAAAGACAAAAAATGACCTACAGTAGAATGCTATTAGCCACAGTAATGTGCTGCAACATCCACACTTTGTCCTTGTGTTTGCAGAAATGCTGGCGCTGCATAACATCATATGGGTTTTGGGTTTGTCATATGAGTAAAACTAGGGGCTGTTTAGCATAACACTGAGGCACTTTTATAAATAAAAAATGAGAGCAAAATGACTTTTTCCTTTCTTTTTCCCGCACTGGCTCATTATACTGCTATCTTCACCAGACTTAATGCGACTCAGAAAATGCTGCGAGTCTAAGCTTGAGGAAGCCTCTGCGGCGACACAGTGCATGATACTGCAGAACCACTGTATTATGACCTTGTTTAGAAATGTTAGCTGGTAATTGCTTTTTTGGGATGTGGAAAATGATGGTTCCTTGGATCCATTCAGGGATTACTTTCAGCAGGACACAAGAATGTTGTTAGGATTCACCAGTAACACTTGTTCTCTGCTGCCAGAGCACAACTATCATGTAAACCTTCAGTTATAACTGTCTGCTTCTGTGGGTTGGAATAAAATGTTTAACACAGTTTTTTGTGTTTTACTAAGCCTCATGAAATATTTAAGTTTTTTAAGTTCAAACATCTTTTATATAGATCCATGTCACTGATTTATGAGGAGATGTGTGGATTTGTTATTTAACCCTTCCACTGAGTCAGTCTACTACACTTTACGTTTCTCCTGAATAAAAATAAAACCATATTTGTATACTAGAAGCTAAAACCCACAACTACTATTGCTGTAATGACAGATGAAACCATTTTTCCTTCCCAGGGTTACAGCCCAGTGAATACAAGACATGAAGAATAAAACTATACAATGTAATGTGGACACAAACCTGCAGATGCTCCATCTGCCATGAACTTCAAACTTTTATGTTTCACATAATGTTTGCTGGACCTATTCTGTGCCAATTAAGATATACTTTATTGTTGTAATAACTAATGTAAAGCGTGTGCCAATGTCACAGCAAAATCTTATTGGACATTAACAAATAATATTACCACTATTAATCCCATTCACAATAGACCCATTTATAACATAATGAAGATGGATTTAACTCTCTTCCTTCTGGTTTTGGAAAATAAAGGTTAATGTTCACAACTATAGACTTTCCCAAATATCAGCAAACTCTGCAGTGTCTTTTGCAAATGTCCCATACAACAAACAGATGCTCACCTCCATACCACAGGAAAGGTTTGATAATGATTATATCCTGATAATCAGACTTAATCGCCATTTAATTCTCTTGAAATCGCAAAAAAAATCTGAGAAGTGGGCAGTAAGTCAGAGGGTGGAACCAGACTAGAGTTATGGCACTGAAAGCAGCAATGATGACTACACTTTGATGTTTCATACACACTTGGAGACGGGTACATCATGTGATTGCTTTGCTCTGAGGTTATGTCTGGGGTAGGGGGCTAATCTCTGACCTCTGACATGTGTTTCAGGATATTGAGGACATGTGATTCTCTTTAAAATCACAGAGGCTGTATGACGAGCACAGCGTCAACCTTAAAATTCATTTCCTAATAACGTCAAAACAGATTCAGACATACCCTCGTCATCTGGAAGATGTCCATTAGGCTTCGGTCTGTCTTCTTTAGGTTTACCCATCTCCGGGTGGGAGGGAGCTGATGAGGATGGTGCTGATGTGGAGGGAGTAATGGAGGAAGAGCAGTGGTGGTGGGAGGGTAGGACTCTTTTTAGGCTCATTTCATTGCGAACATCATTGATGGTCTTTTTGAGTAGCTTGAGCCGCTTGCTGCGGGAGGGGCTGGACTTCATGGCACAGGTCAGGTCGAACTTCTCCAATAGCTGCTGCAGCTGCTTGTCCAGAGACAGATGCCCCCGATTGGCTGGTACAAGTAGGCGGTCCACTAAGGAAAGAATTAAATGCATGTTACGAATATTCCTCAGTCACTTGCTCTGATGCTAGCGATACATATGGTAAATTTCACAGAGACGTGTCTTTGCTGCTGCCCTTACCGTCCTCCCAAGAAAAGGACGGTGGTGCTTTGATTTCCGGAGCATCATTCAGATGCATGCCGCTTTCCGTGTCAAAGCCGATTTTCTCCACATCACGCCGGGCCTTTCTAAGCAGGGCCCCACCCTGATCTCGGAGGCGAACAGCTGCCCGGTAGAAATATGTGTCCTTTGAATTATACTTCATGCAATTTTCAATAATGAGGTTGAAGTCACTCTCAAACTGCTCAAAGTTGTTGTAGGCCTGGGCATCGATGCGCTGCCGCATGGTGGAGAAGTCCATTGGATGCTTGATGTGGTCGAGGTAGTCAGGCACCTACGGGAAACAGCAGATATGATTCATTATTTTCACCTCTGATGGTGTGTGTTAACCAACATGGTGCATCCAAAAAGACTCAATAACAGCAATATTCCATATTTTTCCAGAATATTACAAAGTCTCAAGTCTCAGGAAACCTATCACTAACACAGCACTTTCCACACAAGCAAAGCTAACCAAGAAAATAAATATTAGTAATATATCAGTAAATAAATGAATTCAGTCAAAAGCTACGCCCAACGTGGGGCTCGAACCCACGACCCTGAGATTAAGAGTCTCATGCTCTACCGACTGAGCTAGCCGGGCTTGCGCAGTACAGCACCCTTCACCTTTCACAGCCGTCACCATCTGCCAGCAGACCTTAATCTCAAGTTACACATTCCTCTTACCAGCAAGTCACATTGCTCAGGCCTGTCTACAGAGAGAGGGGGAGGATTTATAAGCTGGGTCACTGTGATCAGGGCCTGTGGTGCAGAGCGAGCTGTGATAAACTTTGTGATGTGTTTGACTGCAAGTTTTAATAGATACAGGGGCGACCAAAGTCCCTTTTCTAAGTGGAAGCTGTCTGAGGCCTGACTGGTGTGTCTGGGCTCTAAAGAGATTAGGGAAGCTTGTGTCGATGAGTTGATCTTTATCAAGATGACACACTGTGTTGTTTCGAAACTTGCTTTGGTAAAACTGTTCAAATTATACAAATGTTTGTATGACTAATTCATGCCATTATTTCAGCATCACTGAAGCAGTTTTCTAGTAATCAGGCAGAAAAACAAGTAAAAAACAACCACTGCCTGCTGTGGGCTTTCATCCTGACAATAGCACAGCAGTAAAATGCAAAGGGCTGTGTTGAAGTATGAACCAGCAAGTCCGGTTTTGCTTATCAAACAGCAAGTCTCTTGATGACAGTTGAAGTCCTTGTACTCACTTAAAGCTGGAGTGTACACTTCTTAAAAAGTTCATGATGGTAACTTGTGTGTACACACAAAAAAACTCCAATAAGAATGCCCACATAACAAAAAACATAAATATCCTTTATAAAATGAAACAGTTGTGTACAACAAATCTACACATTCATATTATTGGATAGGAAAATGTAAGAGTGAATATGTGGAACACAAAGAAAAACATTTTTGTATGGCAAAGCTCACCTCACTGACATCAACCGGCTGGGCAAAGATCCTGGCCTGGTCTTTTGTCTGAAGCTGGTCCAAAAGAGCTCTGAGTAAAATACTGAAGGGAGTCAGCTGCATCTCTAGCAGGGTCTCCTGCAGTTTAATCTACAACACAGCACAAAAGCAAACTTTAGAAGATCAGATTGTTTCCATTTATTTAGCAGAAGTTCTCCGGCCTGTGGTAAAATTATTTAAGTCAGTCGACTCTCTCCATCCACCCACTCCTACCTCTTCCCTCTTGAGCTTCTCCCTCTTGCGGATTAACTCCAGCAGCAGCCGGGCTCTCTCCAGGTCGTGTCGAAGACGGTGCCATTCCTTCAGCTGGTCCTTTAATGCCCTGCTCTCCTCCTCATTCTGCCTCTGGAGAAGACATTAGAATAAATATACATACATTTAAGAACAGAACAGAATAGAAAATGCACAATTTGCATAACAGGTACATGTTTCTCCATAAACATATCTTTCCATACAGTGAGGTACTATATTACTTTATAGCCCAAAGATCCACATTAGCATGTCCACACACACATTATCAAACATCTTGTAAACAGCCGTAATAAAGTGCTGATCAGTATACTGCACAATCAGATGTAGAAGGCTTAGCAAAACTTCAAGTTCTACAAACTACTGGTACTTTGATAAAAGGCAAAATGAAGACTGAAAGTCTTCTGCGGTTGACTGACAGATGAACAAACCGGTTGCGCATTCTTCTGAGAATGCAGGCTTGTCTGAAGGCGTCTGATGAGGGGAAGTCCATTCCTGGATTGCCTCTTTAGTGTCCAGTAATTTAGGACCAGCTCCACGAATGCTTTCTTCTTCTGGACTGACACCTGGTTTAGAATGGTTTGTAACCTAGAGCCAGGAAGACAGGTTTTAGAGGGAAAGAGCCAGGGAGAGATAGCAACACAATAATCTTAAACATCTCAAGTCACTAGCTGTTTGCAGTATTTTAGCCAGTGAATCCAATTTTCAAGACACAGACAATGGAAACTGTGGTCAATTGGCTTTGGTCGTGGTTTTCATGGTAATATTAAACTTAACAGCAACAGACAGAATTTAACCACCACTTCACAAAGGCCACATGCATATAAGCAGATGACTGGGGACGGCAAATATTAGTGTCACATGCTCAAACCCTGCATCAACAAGCATTTGTACATCAACAAGTATATGTCCTTCAGAGAGACAGAAAAATCCCCTCAAAATCACCATTCTCACTCTCAGATCATAAATGTCTAAAATGTAAGTTTAAATGAGTATGCCATCCAAACTAACCAAACACTACACTTCCCATCATTAACATTAACTTGTGTGTACCTGTGAGCAGGAAAAGTAGGCACAGTAGCAGGGGTTGCAGCTTCCTCTTCAACTTCAGGCTCAGGTTTCTTACTCTTACTCTTCTTCTTCTGCTTTCCTTTTGACTGTCCTTTACCAGCAGATCTGCCTTTGTCCACTTTCTTACATAGTCCATTTTTGGGTTTGACATTATCATATATTGTAAGAGGCCTCCTTACACACCCATTAGGTGTGTGGGCTCCACAGTAGGCTGTCTTTTTCACAGAGACGGTGGGCTCTCCTGTTTCCATTACCTCTTTGATTGGTTCCATCTTCATAAAGAGGCCAGCCTTTTGGGCACAGCTGACATGGAAGGCGCTGTAACAGTTAGCTTTGTGGCACTGTATGCATGCCCCAACACCTTTCTCCTTGCAGAGGTAGCATGTGAGCTTCCAGCGGGCTGGAGGAATGTGGCTGACACCATCAATGGGTTCAATGAAGGTGGTGTTGGAGAAGCCAACCTCAGGGACCCAGAGTGCGCACACCACGTGGCCCCAGCGGTCATCCTCTGTCTTTTTCACAGCTCCACCCTTGTTGGGACAAAGGATGCAGTCTGCGGGTTGAGTGGGTGACTGGAGGCAGTGTCTGCACAACCACTGGCCCTCAGGAATGTAAGGCACACCGTAACATTCCTGATGCACAGCCACATTGCACATATCACAAAATAAAATAGCGTTGCTGTTGTGACACTCACCATCCATGCAAATGCAGCAAACAGCATCCTCATCAATGGGAGCTTGCTTTTCACTGCCTTGATCTAGGCTCTCCAGATACAGTTCCTTCTCAAAGCGGTCAACAAGGAACTCAAAAACATTGTGAGAGACCTGACTGACCCCTTCGCTCCGCCGTTTTTCATTGACCAAATCTAGCCAAGCGTAATCTTCCTCATCCATGTCATACTCTGTTTCCTCGTCCAGCTCTTCCTCAGTTTTCTCTATGAATTTATAAAAGGTGGCTGGGCGCTTAGGAACTGCTGGAAGGTTATATTCTACTGTACGGAACTTGGGCTCTGGAAGCTTTGGCCCAGCATTAACACCAGAATGCTGGCTTGCTCCTTCTCCATGACCAGTGATGCCCAGCGCAGCGTTTCTCTTCTCTTGGTTGTTTTTTAGTCTCACTGACCTCAGGAGGACCTGCTGCTGTGGTTTCTCAGCATTCTCTTTATTGCTGGTGCACTCCATCATCTCCTGCACCATGGGGTCGTCATCCGAAATCACGTCCAGCTTGTCATATATGCTGAGCCGATGGATGCGGCCATCGATCTCGAACTCCACCATGCGTTGTGCCTGGGCGTAAGTCAAGATCTGCTTGTTGGGGGAAGGCTTGATGGGAGACGGCGGCCTCTGCGGCACCGGAACTCGGTGCTGCCGAGCTTTCTTCTTCATCTTGCTGCTCCGTGTTGCTGTGGAGACACAAGAGTGGGATTAAAGATCTGCATATATTTCATTAGGGTCAAGTAAATTAAACCAAGGGCAGAGAGGGCAGATGTATTTTACTTTATGCACTTTTTTACAGTACACAACATTAATAGTAATACAATAATATAACTGACAATATGTGTACAAAATGTAGGTTTTCCACAACAGCATGATATAAAGCTATCAAAATAATGTGACCTACAAGCAAGACAACAAATAATCCAGTTATTTGCACAAGTAATAACATCCGTGATAACTATTTGCTACCTGTTTTGCACAGAAATAGGTTGTTCTAATTTAAAATCAATGTCCTCTGGACCAAAAAGTTAAATATTATGTGATCCGAATGCATTACACTTAAATAACCAGCTGATTAAGAGAGCAAAGGGAAGGTGCAACTTTCACTTACTGCCTCAAACCACAGTAGGTATCAATGTTGTGAGCTGTAATGTAGTAGCCATCTCTTGGATGCACTTTCTGTAAGTGAGCTGGGGCATTTAACTGCGGTGGGAGGCGGCCAGACTGGGCATTTTGAATATGACTGCGCAGGAGTTAGCACTTGCCCATTTGGTGCAGAGCTGCTATTGCCTTTTCCACTAACGACTCACAAAGTGGCCAAGTTGCTAACAATAACATTAGCTAGCCAGCTAACTAGCAAGAGGAGCTAGCCACCCCGTAAACGGAGCAAATGGCGTCAAACAAAACAAGGGCTCTCTTGAACAGTGTTAGTTAATTCATACCACATGTGGAACATTAAACACACACTTTGCAGATGCATTTAATGCCTTCTCGTCGTCAACGCATTAAGCACAAAAAAGCAAATAAAACCAAAGCACATACCTCGGATACACGAACAGTTTTGCTAGCTGAAGAAGACGGTAGCTAGCCAGCAGCCTTACAAAGCAATGGCGATACGGCCTGCTAAGTGGCTCTAATTCCGCACACAATGTTCTCATCCAACGGGCGATACTGGGGTCTTTTCAGTTGCTAATAAAAGAGAAAGAGGCCTTCTTGGTGCCTGTGAAGTTTCGATGTGAAATTCTGCAGAGAACACTCAGTTAATTGCTTTGTGGACCATTCATAGGCTAGAGTCACTCGCTAGCCACAGTCGACCTGGAGCAAAAAGCAGCAACAGCACCAGCACTACGGACGGGCTCGTCCCCCAACACAACAATGCGTTTCACCAGACAACTCCCACCCGTACGCACTACTCTACGTGTGACGCTGGAGGTCATGTTGGTGGTGAGTCGTAGATTTCACACAATAGCCCATCTGTCACACAATCAATGCATTGCCTTTTGTCAGTCCTTACTAGCCATACACAAGACAAAGCTCCAAACAAAGAGCAAATCAGTGCAGTAGTAGGTATTGTCTGTGTAAATCTGAGACATATCTCTGTAATGGCTCTCCGGACCGGGGTGTTTAGTCATAACCAATGGATAAGAGTTTCTAACTGACATATCTATCTGTCAGGCTGTGGGGGATTTGAATCAGCATTTCTACTCTAGATACAGAGGACAGTCAGGACACAGGCAGAACAACAAACCACTGCTATGCCGCACCCAGGTGACCAGTTCGCCCCAGTCGCTGTCCTTGAGGTCAAGAGACCCCGATCGTTCAGACCAGTAATAACGTATAGTGTGGATAAAATCACATATATGGTAAACTCTGAACCTATGACTAAGAATGACCGTGAATGCAACACAGAGGAGTCATTGATTCACTGAGCAATAATTATTTCGTTGTCACACGTTACCTGATCTGTTGCTATGGTTTTTGTTCGTTTAATTAAACGAACAGTCACTCTTTCATTCTTTATACGTTTAAGTCGAAGCCGAAATAAATGTATTTCGACCAATATGGAAACCGAAACAACCACTAGCAATAGCAAATTTCCAAGAACCAAGTCATAAAATAATAATAATAATTGTTATTATATTATCATCATTATTATTATTGTATTATTATTATTATTATCGTCATAATTATTATTAATATTATTAATGGGGTACAAAGTTACATAATGTAAAATGATTGGATGTTAACCGTTACAGTTAATATACAATTCTCTCGCTTGTTATATACGTGTAACAAATCACAAATGACTACTCAATCTGTCATTTTAATATTAGTGGCATCTGTAACAAAAAAAAGTGACAATCAAATCAAAGTAAGCACGGTGTTGTGTGACATATTGCTTAATTTTATCAGCCCCCACCCCCCCCCCCCCCCCCCCCGCCATACTGGAGACCTTGCGCCCGGTGACATCATTAAAACATGTTCCTTCCGTCCGACGCTGTGTGGAGCTGCTTCGGCCGAACGTGAACTGCTAGCAAACCAGGAGACAAAAGCAACAAAGTGAACCCCCCTCCGGATCAATCAAATGTGTCATATTTAACTGTTTAGGAGCCGAAACCCAGTGATCACGCTGTAATAGTTCACAGTAAGTACGCTGAGCTCATGTACGTGTCCGGGGAGGGTTTAATGCGATCAGGACGTCGTGGTGAGTGCTGGTCTGATTCGGATCCCGTGTGGTTCGTGTGTTGCCACGGCTGGGTTCTGCCTCGCCAGGTTAGCTAGTATGTCCTGTGTGTGGCCTAGCTGGCAGCTAACCAGCTAGCAGTCGTGGTGTGGTCCGAAATTTACTAAGCGCCTTTTTCAAGTCATTTTAACGTTAATGGGATAGTTGTAGAAGTTGTATTGGCTCTAATATTTGTGCTACAAATCCATGTGACAGAAGTGTTGTACCTGTGTGTTGTTTTTATGTGTTTATTAGCCTTACGGCTAATCTAGTTAGCATCAGGATAGCCACCGTGGTGTTTACTGATGATGTAGCGTAACTGCCCGCAATGTTTTATTATAACGTCAAATATTTATTGGTATGAAGGTCGCACAAGTTTCGGGGGGTTTGTGCTGTTTGTTTCAATGGGGGTAAGCCGAAAGCCGGTGTGTCGATACCCATTTACAACTTGGTGTGTTACGTCAAGATGAAAGCTAGTCAGCGTTGGCTATTTTTTGCTGTCCTCTCGCATCTTCCTGCCTAGCACTTAAGCCAAACCCGGAAAAACTGGCTGTCACTGATCACTTAGGAAATGGCTCAACGCTGCTTGTTTTTTTTTTGGCCGTCGACTTAAATGAGATCATGTATTATTAATCAATAATACAATTGGTTATCTTGGTCACATTCATATGGTTAGATTAAGTCGAATGAACGGTAATTTTTGATTATTTATTATTATTTTGCTACAAGTTAGGCCGGTTTGTATTTGAGTGGTACTTGTGTACTTAGGCTAATGTTCTCGGAGCTGATGTGTCTTGCATGTACACATACTATATCTTGTGCAATGTTATCATGTCCTGTTTAGAAAAAAAACACATTTTTGTTTTTAAGAGTGTTGTCTCAATATTACTATTTATTGTATGCTGAATGTATGTATGCTTGATGTTGATGGCGTGGGTCCACAGTAAAACAGTACTTACTGGCATTATAAGGAAGATTATGGCACATACCTTTGACACTCAGTCCAAAATGAGGCACTAGTTATGCTTAACAGACCACATTTGACCTGATCCCACAGTCGGTGGTGTACCTGTGATCAGGACACAGAGAGATTTGGTAACAAAATACACACCATATTTCCCCAGTTACCAGTTTATTATGTATACCTAGCTAACACTGATGCAGTCTAATTCAACAGCCCTGCAATAAATCCTACTTTCATGGGGGCTATTAAGGTCAGTTTTTGTTTCAACTGTTCATTCAACACAATGGCCATTTTGGAGGCTGTGGTTTGAAGCATAGATGAAATGTATTGTTATAATTGGGTATTTCTAATGTTTTGTTCACCCCTTTTTATATATGAGGGTAGACTAAATATTAGTCACTTATCTAAAACAAAAAATGATAGAAGTCTGTAACAATGTGAGTCACTGAAAACTGTATACCTATGTTTCTTTTTCAACCAAACACTGCCCCCAGCTGATTTCAATGATTAGTGATATTAGTTTTTATGATGTAATAAAAACATCTATACAAGACAATATATATGTACACTTATTGTACTGAAGATTTAAGCAGCATGAATGTGGAATTGTGGCACATCTTCAGGTGTGCTTAGGTCTACTGTAGCATTAGGCATTAGCATACATTAAATGTGATAAGAAAGTTACCAGCGTGGCAGAGCATACAGCTAAAACCACAAACATCAAATGTGTAAAAGTCATAAATGAACAGAATAAATATTTAAAATATTTTAGTAACCATAATAATTCCAGTACATTTGTTTGCAGTGTTAGGGTCTATCAGTTGTAGAAAATAAAAATGGAACATGTCATGGACAGGACTTTTGTGTTTTTGCAGGATTTATTGGAATCTTAGTATTTCTTTACAGTACTCTTTGGTTTTTCTCTCTCCCTCTCTCTAGGTTGTGGGTGGAGAGGTGGAACCACTTCAGTCATAAATGGAGAGGGACAAGCAGGCACCCTGTGTCCTGGAGAGCCACACACACATTACAACACCTGCTTGAGAGGTGCTGTATCGATGACTACACCTGAAATAAGTGATTACGTTTGACAAAGCAGACCTGACTATTCTACAGAAACCCTTGGGCTGCTGCCATGGATGGGGAGGAAGAGGTCTCTCACATGAGTGAGGATATGGTCAGTGACCCTAATGGCTCAATAGAAAGTAAAAAAAGAGAGGCAAAAGCAACCTGCCTGAAAATTGAGGGCCAAGATGGCTATGTGTTCAAATCCTACAGCATTAACCCTCATGAGACTGCCGATGCAAAGTCACCTGCTTGCTCCTCAATTACACTGGATAAAGACTCTCCCCCTTCTCCCCATTTATCTTCTCAGGGTGATTCACAGTTGGAGTCAGATGAAGCAAAAGAAACTGATCCAGCTTCCCCCACTCTTTCAAACAAATGCCTACACAGTGATGCTGAGGAAAACACAGAGAATGATAACTATGAAAATAGTAATGAAGCAAGTCAATATATCAGAGCAGACATTGGGGATGAAAATGGAATAAAGGAGGAAACACAGGAAGATGAAAGGCTAGCATTTAGTAGCTCAATTGGCCACACTGATACTGAGGAAAACACAGAGAATGTTAACTATGAAAACAGTAATGAAGCAAGTCAACATATCGAAATGGAGATTGGGGATGAAAATGGAATAAAGGAGGAGACACAAGAAGATGAAAGGCTAGCATTTGGTAGCTCAATTGGCCCTTTTGTAACAAGAGATGGTGATGAGTATACTAATTTACTAAGTGGTTACACAAGCACCCTTTATGATGTTGCCATGGACGCTGTCACTCAGAGCCTTTTGTCATCTATGAGGAGTCATACCAACCCGAGGAAAAAATCTCCCGCGTGGAATCACTTCTGCATATCACCACGAGACAGTACCAAAGCAATCTGTTTATACTGCATGAAAGAGTTCAGTCGGGGTAAGAATGAGAAAGACCTCAGTACAAGTTGTTTAATGAGGCATGTACGAAGGGCTCACCCCACTGTGCTTTTACATGACGGGGCAGATGCATCCTCAAATAATCTGAATAGCTCTCTTGCCTCATCTATGATACCTCCCTCCCCAAGCTCACCAAAAAATGGAGACTTGACAAATAGTGTCACTACTTCTGCCTCAAAGAACACTTCACCGTCCACCTCCTCAGCTGAAAATTCAGACTTGTCATCCAAAGAAGTGTTACCCAAAGTTGAACCAAAACAAGAACAGTATGCCATCACTGACACTGTTGGTAGCATGCTCTCATCCTCACATTCCAATGAAAACAACCTTGAAGACATGTCAGACGGAGGGCCAGAGCGCCTTCCCGGGACCCCAAAAAGCTCTAGTTCCCGTCGGAGATCTGCTGTATGGAAACACTTCTACCTGTCACCTGCTGACAATTCCAAAGCAGTGTGTATCCATTGCATGAATGAATTCAGTAGGGGTAAAAATGGGAAAGATCTAGGGACAAGCTGTCTTATTCGTCATATGTGGAGGGCCCACAAAGAGGTTGTCATTGAGGAAAATGGACAGGGCAATCACATTCCCCCACCCTATACAAACCCGCCCTCCTTCTTGTCCCGCACACAAGTACAGGATCCATTGGAAGTAAAAAAAGAATCACCCCTGCCTCCATCCTCACCAGAACCCATATCAGATGATTTGCCCCAAAGCGTGGAGGAAAATATGGATATAAAAGAGGAATCTGAGGAGATGATGCAACACTCAGGGCAGGAGTCCTCTCTCAATCTCTCCCTCAAATCTCAGGGAGAGGATACACCCCTGACTTCCTCACCATGCAACCTCTCAGAGGGCCCCAGCCTCAATCAGGATCATTCAGTTTTCCAGCAGAACAAGAAGATAATGAAACGGGTGAAATCTGAAGTGTGGCACCATTTCATAGTGTCACCAGTTGACCAGTTAAAAGCACTGTGCCGTTACTGTCCATGCGTCATCAGTCGGGGTAAACGGGGCGACTTTGGTACAAGCTGTCTGATGAGGCATCTTATGAGACGCCACCCAGACGTCCTCAAAAACCAAAAAAGCACAGATGAGAAGGAATCCTCCTCCCCTCATCCCTACACCAATCTCACTGCAGCAGACGCAGTTTCAACCAAAGAAACTGACAGCCCGGCCAGTGAGAAAAAGCCACAAACCCTGCCTGTTTTCAGTAAAAAGACGTCAAAACTGTGGAACCATTTCTCCATTTCACCTGCTGACCCCACAAAGGTGGTTTGTTTGCACTGTAGCCGCACAATTAGCAGAGGCAAAAAGACTACAAACCTCGGCACAAGCTGCCTTTTCAGGCACATGCAGAGGTTTCATGGACACGTTCTTGAAAGTAACAATACTATCTCAGGTGATGTGCCGTCTGCTGAAATTCATGTTAAACAAGAGCTCATGGACACTTCTGTTTATGCAACGGAACAGAACCATGAGAGGTTTGATGAACAACACCCGGTTGCCAAAAAAATCACCAAACTTATCGCAGAAATGCTCGCATTGGATCTTCAGCCATCAGCGATGGTGGAGAATGCTGGACTGAACAGACTGCTAGAGTACCTCCAGCCTCAGTATTCTCTACCACCTTCTTCTTACTTTACCAGCACTGCCATACCAGATATGTACGAAAGGGTGAAGGATGTTGTGCTGACCCACCTGAAAGAGGCTGAAGGTGGTGTCGTCCACTTCACAACAAGTATTTGGGTCAGTAGCCAGACAAGGGAATACCTTACCCTTACTGCCCACTGGGCGACGTACGAGTCAAGTGTCAGACCTCAAGGTCAGGACTTTCACTGCTCCGCTCTTCTAAGTGTCTCACAAATAGACTGTGATCACGATATGCACGACATCCCAAAGCAGCTTGAGTATCTGTGGGATTCTTGGATCACCTCATCAGGGCTGAAAAAGGGTTTCACTGTAACTGATAACAATACCATCAGAAACACCTTGGAGGAACATGGCCATGTCACCATGCAGTGTTTTGGACACACTATAGACCTCATCGTTAGCGAAGCCATAAAGAGCCAGAGAATGGTTCAGAACCTTCTGAGTATTGCACGAAAGATCTGTGAACGTGTGCACCGCTCAGCAAAGGCCAAGGAGAAACTGGCTGAACTCCAGAGGGTCCACCAGCTGCCAGAAAACCAACTGATTCAGGATGTTCCTTCTAAATGGAGGACCTCCTTTTTCATGTTGGAGCGGCTGGTGGAGCAGAAGAAAGCCATCGACGAGATGTCGATCGAGTGCAATTTCAGGGAAATGATCAGCTGCGATCAGTGGGAGGTGATGCTGTCGGTCTGCAATGCACTGAAACCTTTCGAAGTCGCCTGCAGGGAGATGAGCAACCGCACTGCCACTCTGGGACAAGTGATACCACTCATTCACATCCTCAACAGAAAGATAGACCTGCTGTTTGATGAGACCGTGGGCATAGACAACATGCTCAAGTCCCTAAAGGAAGCCATGGTGAGCAGAATGTCAGCAACTCTGCATGACCCACGATACACGTGGGCAACCATGCTGGACCCACGATACAAGACGTCTTTGTTCACAGAGGAAGAAGCTGAGCAATGTAAACAAGACCTAATCCGGGAGCTGGACTTGTCCTCTTCTACCTCAGTTGCAGTTAAGTCTCCGCTGCCCAACGGCTGCAACGAGGCCCCCGCATCACCCAACACCTCCCACTCAAACAAGGACAACCTCTGGTCCCTAATGGCTGACATCAGGCAAAAGATAAAACAAGAGGAGAAGCCAAAGTCCTCAGAGCTGGCAGTGCTGGAGTACCTCGAGGAAGACATACTTGATCAAAGCTGTGACCCCCTCGACTATTGGAACCTGAAAAAGTTCCTGTGGCCTGATCTTGCCAAAGTAGCTGCCCGGTATGTGGGCTGCCCTCCCAGCATCATCCCAGCAGAGACACTGTTCAGCACAGCTAGTGTCAACTGTGCGCTAAATCAGCCCAGACCTTTACTGGAAAACATGGAGGGTCTGCTGTTCCTCAAGGTCAACCTCCCTTTGATTTATTTTCAGTACTGATAAATATCAAGCATTACTCTGAAAACCCTTTATCAAGGACCAAGTTGCATAGCTGTGAAATGGGGGGTTTCTGTTGGGCAAATTGTAAAATATCAATTTATACACTGATTGAGTCTCAATGCAAAGGCCAGATTGAGGTTTTATTGTATTCTGTGTACTACTGTTAAAACACTTTGGAGCTGTTGTGATGATAAGTCTCAGTCAGAAGTGTATCAGGGAGGGAGGGTTTTTCTAGCTGTAGGGGTTGGTGATAATGTGTTTGCTTGTAAATCGATGTTTCTGTTTTCTGTGTCTACTCTCTCCTTGTGCCTTATCCAAAACTACTTCAGGTCAAAAATGCTGTACATATTTTGTTAAATTGCGCAGATCACGTCAGGATGCTTTTTGATTCTTATGGATTAAAAGATAGATGCAGAGTTGTTTTCTGAATGAAAACATTGCCCAAAAATAAATGCTGTGACTGAAAGATGTTTTAAGTTAATGTTATTTAATTTTCATTGTGAATTCGTGGCTCATGGTACTGTCATTTAGAAATAGATTTTTTTTTTTACTTGCTGAAATGTTTTTAATAAGATCATGTATAATATTGCTGTATTTTCAGAGTAAGGAGTTTGTTTGGAATATACAATTTGTCTCTTAAGCACAATTTAAGTTTATGTCCAGGGGATTAAATTATGGGTTTATTATTGAGTAAAACAATGTACTGTACATTTTTATATTAAATGACTTCTGAACCTAATTTGATAAATGTTTGAGCATTGAGACTGGAACCATGTAAATTTTGTGGTCATTTGTAAATAAAGGTTTTCCTTATGCAATATTGCAGAGGTTCTTGTTTCTTTGTTTCAAATGTTTTGCCCTCTGTTCACATTCAGCTTTATTCATCTAAAAAATATACATAACGTACAAATCACATTCCGAAGTAAAGAATACAGAGCTGTTTTCAGAAGTTTAAGAAGATAACATAGTTTTATGTGAAAGAAAATGTTTGGGTTTTTTTTCATGAGCATTACAACTCCAATACCTGTATTAACATTAGAATAGAAAAACTTTTGAACTGGTTTAACATTTTACACATCAGCAAAGATGAATGACAGTATTATTGTTTAAATACAACATGTTTACATGCTGCGGTAGCACATGTTGGCTGTTGATCTGTGTTGAAACGTGACGGATGATAGATTTGTTTTTCACACCTGGAAAAATACCCTTAACACTCCCATCTATACCATTGTAACCTGTGAGAACACTGGTGTTTCCAGCTTCACCTTTGGTCACATTTTTGGTCACAATAAGAATTTAATTCCTTAATCCAACACATTCCTGTTACAGTCGCTCTTTTTGAAGAGAGGCTTCAGTCTTTCTCTCCATCAGCACAGTTTTTCTCTCCAGTCGCACACTGACAGGAGGGAAGTGAAACATGTTGAAGGCAGTGCTGCTGTAACCCTCTATAAAGGCCAGAGGCTGATGAGTGTCCTTGAGTGCCTGTATCTTGGTAACATTAGCCTCCATTAGCATGTGTGAATACATTTTGACTTCAGGATTTGTGGGGCTCATGTCCTCCCGTTTGTCATATCTGTTAAAAAAAAAGTAAGTCAAAACATTACACAACTTTAAATGTCACTGTTGGACACATTAAATTTGACAGACTTTAGTTCAAAATAATACAATATACACTGACCTCCAGTTTCTGTTTTGCTCTAAGAAGCGTGATACTCCAGTTTCAGCAGCGTAAGTGTCAATATGAACAAAAACATCTAAAAGAACAGTGTAACAATGTTTTTAATGGCAGTGATTATACAGTATTTTGAATAACTACTCAAATCAGGTAAAAAAAAAAGGCAGAATTCTTCATTTTCTCCTACACAATATGGTTTGTCTTAGACCTTGTGCAAATTAATAAGATGAATAAAACTGAAAAGTAATCTAAGAAGTATCACCAAGATTGTATACTCTGATAATTATTCCTCAGATTTCAAACTTCCTGCAAATACAAATTAGTTAAAAGTGGTGCCAACCTGTGGTGGCTGGCAGCAGCCTGTGTAGTTCCTGCATCCCGAGCCCCCCCGGGTAGTTGTGGTGGGAAACATAAAGACAAATACTAGAGTATGATGTGTTGATCAACAGCTGGCCAACCACAACCGCAGAGCCCAGTTTATACATCCAGGATTTCTGGTAGTTGCACAAACTAAAGCACACAGGAAGAAAACAAGAAATGAGGAACAAGAGCAGTTACTCTCTCAAATGGTTAGAATGTGACACTGCTCACAGTAAATGTCTCTCTAAGCTTTGCACTGGTATTAACGTCTATAAATAGCCACTCAGTATCCACTTCAAGAGCAAGAGTGTTGTGCAAGTTGTGTTCATTATTTTGTATTCTAAACATCATATTTGTTGTGAAGTGAGAAAAGTGACTGGTTAATGTGTTTTACTGTAAACACTGGGGTTTTATGTTTTGACTTACATGAAAGAACAGCCTCGGGCAGCCACCAAACTGAGCACGGGGAAAGTGTAGATGATGAAGCGCAGCTCCTTGTGGGGCAGCAGCGAGTAGATGAGGATGAAGCCTACTGTGGGCAGCAGCAGCAGCCTCATCCGCCTGTCAAGAAGACCAAGGGGGACAAAGAGCAGCGTGCAGCCCACGGCACGGGGAACCGCAGAGTAAAAGTACCAGAGAAAGGGGGAGGTTTACTGGGGAGAGGAGTCAAGGAAAACTGTGGGGGTGGAGATTATCCCTGACGATAAATTAAACAAAAAGTAAAAGTATAAGTGATAGCTAGGCTTCAGATAGTTACCTCTGCCAACAGGGTTATGTTTTTTCACCCATGTCTGTTTATTCTTCAGCAGGAATTCGGTGGAGGGGTGGGACATGGGTCAGGGAAAAGCCCATTCAATTTTGGGGCAGATCCATATCATTTACTATGAATTTTGTTCTGTGACGTCTGGTGTATGCTGTTTGATATTGCCCTTTGCTGAGGTCAGCGCTCTCTGAGTACCTTTCTACTTAAACAAGGAATTGTACAGGAGTAAATGAAAGGATATTCCCCAGTTGGAGCTTTTGTTGAGAATAGTGTTGTACCACAAAACCTGACCTTCAGGCCACAGAAACTCTCTCCAAAAGAAGGTGTCAACAGCTACTGTCAGAGCTGCAAAAGACAAAAGGAATCTAAAAAAGCTGCACATGCACGTGCACATGTTCTATTTAAGCAATGTATTATTTATATAATGTACATTCACCACTCACCCAGTGACAAGATCCCAGCTGGAACAGCATAGTAAAGCAGTTGCAGCAATCCCAGCTTCCTGCTCAGCAGTGATATCAGCAACATGAGACCCATGAAAATGCAGAGCTCTGACCGGAACACAATGATGACTAAAGCTGAGAGGCTGATGAAACGGCCATATTTCTGAGCCATCCAAGATGTGAATGCTAAAAGAACTGAGAGGAGAAATTTACTGTCATCACTTTACTCACTCAGATTTACTCACTAATTCAGGAACACAGAAAAATAAAAGTTTGAGATTTGAGATTATTATTACCGGTGCATCTTACCTATTGGTAGTGCAAATACATTTGGGAGTGTCCTGGTGCTGTAGAACATTAGGTGAAACTGTGAAGCACAGGTCAGACAGAAGAGCCCTGCAACTGTAGAGCCAAACTGCCTCCTCACCTCTCTCTGCATGTGCCATAGCGCACCGACAACACAAACTCCCAGAGATGCTCGGACTGCACAAAACACATCAAAAGAACACATTTAAACAGTTTAAAACCCAAGAAGTAACATTTATTGTAACATAGAGTATCAATTACTTTAAAAATGACAATTAGTGAGATGTTAGTGATTTACCTATCAGCTGTGTGTAAAATTTCGGTGCATCCAGCAGTGAGGACAGAAACACAACAGGGGAGGAGAGTATGGAGAGAAAAAGGGGGCCAAGGAAAGACCGTGGCACCACACCAGGGAACTCATGATGGTCATACTGAAAGACAGCACAAGCTTTTTATTGAGGCTCAACAACACTAATGCAGCCAGAATATCATACAGGAATATATATTTTCAATCCGGTTTTTAAATATCACATGATGTTAAGCAAGAGGTGATTTCAACCAGAAATGTAGACTTCCACTTTTTGTCCAGGCAAATGGGTAAACTCCACCTGCTGATGAAGTGCATGTTATGTGACATGATCAAAAGCTCCAAAAGAGTTACTAAATGGACCCTGGGACGAGATGTCAATTGTTTTCTTAATTCTTATGGTATTGTGTAGAAAATTATGATAAATATCTATGTTTTAGAGAACATGTACAATACATAACAGGTAGGTACAGCAGTATGTAGTATCATATATGAATTAAATAATAATGGTTCTGTAAAACCACTTAAATGTATGATTTGGGGCTATACAAATAAAACTGACTCCAATTTTTATTTTGATCATGGAATCAACCCGTTTGCTAATTTGCTGATGATAAAGCACACATCTTTTGAAAGCAGTATGGTTACTATTTATCAAAGCACAAACTCAACTTTTACTTCTCAAACAGTACATACTTCCTCATACTTATTTTGTAATCTTATTCATTTTTGTATTAAGTATGAATTTACCAAAGACTTTTGGCTTCAATTAGCACAATTATGCTTTTTAATATTCAAGCACTTCCCTCCTCTACAACTCAGAAATATATATATAAAAGCAGTAACTGTGTTAATGTAAGTGTTGTCTGTATGGTTTGTGTAATGTATTCAAAAATGATTTAATTCACTGATGCTGTGCAGTTAGCTTGTTAGCACATCTATTACCTGAATCTGTAACACCTGCTTACCTTGTCAAAGTCAAGTCTGTGATACAAAAGGTCGTGGGCTGCCTGTAAGTTAAAGCTTTCCTCAACCTTAGTAAACGGACAAATGAATAAATGTAAAAGAGCCACAGATATTAATAAGAAGAGCAGTGGCAGCCCAAAAACATTCCTCTTTTCAGCCATGACAGCTGAGAGACTGTTTTCACTTCCGGTCACGACAGGAAGTGATCGGCACGACATGTTTTCATATCGCTAAAAATATAAACACAATTTTTGTAGTAACATTATTAAGGTATTGTTAATAAATCCAACCAAATTCTTCACCTTAAAGAAAAAACAAATATATTTTAAATGCTACAACTAGGTTTTCTTAATCTTCCACGTGCGGAAGGATCTTTTTGTCCCGCGCGTGGCGGCTTGTGATTGGTTTCAAATTTGATTGACAGGCAGGGAGAGCCATTCAGCGCAAGCCACAATTCGACCAAGAAGCTGACGCGGAAAACTAGAACCGTACCGTTTTTTTCCCACAACCAGCATGTAAATACTACTTTCTTGTGCTTTGCATAGACAACGCTAACTTATATTTAATGTTAACAATAGCTCATTTAGATGTGTCCGGACCGTGCAACACTTTAGTATTACTGAGAAGCTTGCCTGCAAGTGGCTGAAGCGTTTGTTGTGATATGAAAGTGGGTCTGAAGTGATTGGATGAGATGCTGTCCACCGGTCCAGAGCTGCGGCTACTGCGGCTTTTGTCTTGTGTAACTCTTGTCTTACTTTTTCAAGTCACCGACGCCAAGAGGGATTTAAAAAGCGCCTGTACCACCTGCCAGCAAATCACGGATAACTTCAGCAAGGTGTGAGAACATTTGTGTTGTTTGTGGGCTTCTTTTTGTTGTTGTTTTTTTTTACTGATATGAATATACGTATTACCCCAAAGTATTGAACGTACCCTGCTACCTTAGATGGTGCCAAATGCCCGAAATGTCTTTAACTTATTCCAGTCCCTCCCATATTTTCTTTCTGTAGAAAAACAACTTAGTTTTTTTGTTTTAGGGCTTTGACAGAACAGCAAAGCAGAACTTCGGTGGAGGCAACACAGCCTGGGAGGAGAGGAAACTGTCTAAATATGAGACAAGGTGAGACAGCGCATCCTGTCCAAACTGCAGGTCACCCTGCCACCGGCACATGTCATTAGAGCTGTGTTTGTTTTACACCAAAGCAGCAGGCTGTTGCACTTTGCACATGAAGTTTATCAAAGTTTTACATAAGCCACATGCATTTGAATCTATAGCTGACAAGTGGCTGATGACTTATGCAAACTTTCAAACTCAAAGCCATTCTCACACGCACGCACACACACACACACACACACACACACTTTCATAAGGTTCATCCGCACGCAGCAAGAGTAGGTGCATTCTTTCAAAGAGCTGCCTGTACCACCTGCCGCAAATCACGGATAACTTCAGAAAGGTGTGAGAACATTTGTGTTGTTTGTGGGCTTCTTTTTGTTGTTGTTTTTTTTTACTGATATGAATATACGTATTACCCAAAGTATTGAACGTCCCTGCTACCTTAGATGGTGCCAAATGCCCGAAATGTCTTTAACTTATTCCAGTCCCCTCCCATATTTTCTTTCTGTAGAAAAACAACTTAGTTTTTTTTGTTTTAGGGCTTTGACAGAACAGCAAAGCAGAACTTCGGTGGACTGAGCACACAAGCCTGGGAGGAGAGGAAACTGTCTAAATATGAGACAAGGTGAGACAGCGCATCCTGTCCAAACTGCAGGTCACCCTGCCACCGGCACATGTCATTAGTGAGCTGTGTGTTTGTTTTACACCAAAGCAGCAGGCTGTTGCACTTTGCACATGA